CACAGGAGTCCTCCTCCTGGTCCTTCCCGTGACCTAATGGACACGCGCAATGTTAACGCGCACGCGCGAGGCAAGGGACCCAAGCTGCCGATCGTCATGCATGTGCATCCAATGGACGCGCATCCCTAATGTATATAGCGTAGGAGAAACGTACCGTTTCGGCTTTGTCCATAGAATGCATCTTGAAGTTTAATGGTTCCTATTCCTTTTTTACGAACCTTCTGGTAGAAGAAAATTCCACCTCTTCATTTTTCTCTTTGAGAGCATCTGGAGGAACGAAACAGGGGATGCTCTCTGAACTCAGAATCACTTCGGCAAACCTCCGTCTCCCCGGGATTGCGGACGGAATCTCAATTTTAGAAGACATTCAAATTTCATTCCGTTATTCCTCCCTGGGTAATTCCAACATGGGAGGGGGAGGGGAGGAGATAACGAAAAGAAAGATACAGACTGTGTAAAATGCGATATGAGCCCTTTCCGTTATTTGCTATTCTTTATTTCTGTGTGGAAAAACAGTTTATTTTTAGGTTTTTCGATCAGGGCTCCGACTGCGATCCCCACGATTGCCAGATACATTGATTGTGCAGTCTTCGAGACTGTCTCGGCGTGTCGTCATGGGGGGAAAACCGTTGAGAAATGGTTTTCGCCGGGAGAAGCATCCACTGGTCACAATGCGGTGGACTCACTGCAATTTCTCTTAATTTGTAACCGATTAGGCAAAGCAGAGAAGGCAAAGTTGCTGTTCAAATGTGCAAATAAAGGACCAATAAATGCTGTGCAAATAAAGGACCAATAAATGCTGTGCAAATAAAGGACCAAAGGAAAGAAAAGAAACGAAATTAGATAGAATCATGGAAACGCTATTAATCCAAAATCATGGCAGCCGGGGACTCGACGAGAAGTCCATGTCATCGTGGGACGCAGAGAAACTCATGGCTTCCTTCGCCAAATTCAGTAATGTCGTTGTCTCGCAACGAAATGTAGAAAGTGGAATACTTCACACAAATAAAAATAGACAAGCGGCCTGCGGCCGCTACGCTGGCCGTCTTATAGGTGTAAATTTGAATAATCTATTATGAGCATAACATCTCCTTGACGATCCTCTGTTCATCGTATTACCCATTTGGAATTGAACCGCTTCATTACATGTATACACTCATAGCTTACAGTACACAGAGAGATTCTGTTCCTAAACACCATCATCATGATATTCTAGCTGATTGCCACAATCGTTCATTGTGAACGGTTTAGCACGTTTTCATGAGACTCAAGACGAATTTGCTGATTTCGTCTTCCTATCACATTCAATATTCGTGCATCACATCAGCTCATGGGCAATTAGCGTTAGCATATGGTACAGACACCAATGATTCTGAAACAGTACGGATCACTTCCAAGAACTTGTTCGACGGCATACAGGGAAGTTAGTGCATGTGCGGCACAATACTAGCGTATAATACCTGAAAATGACTTGCCAACTTAGTACCACTGAGTACCTTCAAAGCCTCAGGGCGAAGTACGAGTTATAGCAGGAGCATTTTTCCGTTTTGCAAGCAATGTGAAACAAATGCCCCCTCCCTACAGCAAAATGTACAGCCTGACAGTGCTCGCTGTGACAAACGACTGAAAGTATCGAGATGACAGGAAGAGGCATGACAAAATGTTACGTGGTGTAATGGTAGCACATGCAATGTAGCAATGCTTGCCTGACCGGCAAGTAGGAAGTCCGGGTTCAATTCCCGGTCACCCCCCGGCTTCCGACACCTGAGTGCTGCGTTCCTTGCATCAAGTTGCTCAGCATTGGCTCTCATATTCCGGAGCTAAGCATTCGCTGTGTCTGAGCGGCCATACGCTCCCTACGCATATCTGGTTTCTGTTCATAACTGATTCTAGCCATTACGGCCAGCACCGATTTAGGCTCTTCGCACCGCAATTGCAGTGGCAAACGTTGTTTCCACGGCAGCAGCAACTGTCTTTTACCAGCAACAAATGCCTCATCGCCGTCCTGTGGGACCTTCTTCAACATTTCTTCTTCGCGTTCAACCTCACCTCGCAAAAATTGCTTCCATTTTGATAGGAGGTGCACCTCGTTTGCGCGACGTATGAAGCAGAGACTATTTTGACTTCATCAACCTTGAGAACTCAAATCGGCCATAACATGAAACGCAAACAGAAAAATATTGCATGAAAGCGATGTCCCGAACCGCCACGCCTGACCTAACAGAAAAAAATAACAATAAAACGTGACATGCATTCAGTTATTACCACCCTTTGATTGACACAGCTAAGTATGAAGCCTATGGCTCAGAATGATATAGCTCGATGGACCTGGCGCTAAAAGCGTTGGATGGTCAAACATATGGCCTAGAATAACATAGCCTGAAGGACCTGGCACTTTGAGAGGTGGATGGCCTAGCATTTAGCCTGAAGTGACAGTCTTGTAGGCCTCGCGCGCTGGGGTGACAACCACCACCACCACCACAATTCTCGGGCTTTTCAAATTAAAGTATTAGATGGCCGGGAAAGGCGTCGCCTTGTAGGCTTTAGGCCGTGGATGGCCTGGCCTATGATCCAGAATGGGATTGTCATCGTAGGCCTGCGCGTTGGGTGTGACAGCAACACCACCGCAACTTGTGACCTATTCGAATTAAAGTATTAGAAAATTACAGGGGATAGCTCAGGGGGGAGGACGGGAGGGAAAGGGGAAGACAGTGGAGAGGACAGGGGGAGAACAGGGGTAGGATAGGGGGTCAGACAGAGACTACGACCTGGAGGAGGACGAAGAAGGACAGGGAGGAGGATGTGGAGATATCAGGGGGTAGGACAGCTGGTAGGACGAATGGTTTCAAAAGTGGAATGATAGGAATAACTGGTGTGAAAATTGGGAAGGACTGGTGGGGGGATGGCTGGGGGCAGGTCAGGGGGTAGGGAAAGTTGGAGGGCAGGAGTTAGGACAGGGGTAGAAAAATTATTGAGAAAAAACAGGATGTTGTCAAGATGACAACTGTAACGTATGCCGGCCTATGACCGCAAGTACAGCGTATCAATAAAGTCAAGGCGGGGAGCAGGCTGAAGGAGGTGAACTAAAACATCCATCAACACGTGGAGGGAGGTGAACCCAGTGTTTGGGGTCAACCAAGACGTGGAAGGGCTCCTTACAGTTCATATGCAGGATCTACCTGGAAGGAATTCATTGTAGTGGAATCGGGGCGCGTTAAGGTAAAGTTTTTATTTGAACTTAATTAATAGTTGGTATTTTCATAAATCCAACCCACTGCGCCCCGTGCCCGTTACACAACGATGTAAAGCACTGCAGTGGCTGATTATCTGGTACCCAATGATATGTCCAATTTAAGTCATGGCCTGCACCCGACCCGAAACCCTAATTCCGCTCCGACTTCACGGCCTGACCCAACCCGATGCGACCAAAAATTTAACGACACATGGTTTCAGACTGGGAGAAGGAATACAATTTAAATGTTAAAATTCGGCCGGGCTTGATCAAACACGAAGAAGGATCCTGAAAATTTCTGACTTGGAGAGCCGCGGGTCTGGTCGGGTCGCGGCGATCGGGCGGAGCCGCAGCCCTTGCAGTACTCTACAACGATGTCACAACCAGGTAAAATGGGGGGAGAAGAAAACTAAAAAAAAAAATCAAAAGTTTATCTACACTTGACTGGGTGTTATGGGTAGAGGAGATCTTATGAAGACTTGGCAAGAAACGAAATTCCAGGTCTTGCCAAGCGTCTTGTTAGAAACCCAACCCTGGTAATAAAAAATAAGAAGAAGAAGAATAAATATGCAGATGACACTGTTATAGCTATCTCTATAAAGAACGATGAAGAACTTCGGGCGTACCCTGATGAGATCCGACGGATTGTCGATCGGTCAGCACAACATGATCTCCTTCTCGATCCCGATGAGCGTCAAGAGCTCTGTTTTCTGTAACACCGGTTTAAGAGAGGTAGAAATGATTCAAATCCTAACCGCCAGACTGACAGCAAATGCCCTCGAGGTCACTCCGGTTCAGGAAGCAAGATATCCTGGCGTCAACCTCGACGATAAGCTGACCTTCCGACATGAACCAGAAACTGGATGCAAGAGGGTATTCTCAAGATCATTCTTTGCAGTGCAGCTCCTTCGACCAACCACTGGAAGCCTCGACCCGATTCGTGACTTTATGGATGCCTGCCTCTTCCCCCCTTGCTCGACGGAATTCCGATCTATGGGGGGGGGGAAGGGAGGGGAGGGGAGGGGAGGGGAGGGGATTCTATCGTAGGGAACCTCGCGATTTCGTATCTGGGACACTCGAACGTCTGGATCAAGTATCTGGAAGACCTGCTTCCAAGTACGAGCAGAAAGTACTTAGCCGAATGCTACTTACGAGAGGCACGCTTCTTGCCGACCTGAAGAGCGATGTATCTCACCTGCTGGCATGCCATGGTAGATGTTCCGCATCGGTGGTGGGGTCCAAACTCGAAAACAGTTTATATACTCAAAGATGACAAGCACCAAATTAAAAAAACAGCTTCCTCATGAGGAGGATCAGAAATCCTCCACCTGTAGAATTGTAAAAACGTTTTTTTTTGGTTTTGTTTGGTGTTTGTGCTGACGGGCCGAATCAATGCTAATAAAGGGTCACTTCATTTCCTTTCATTTCTCTCCGTCCGTGCTCCCATCGGCCGGGTTTCGCCCAGCCTCTGCGCATTCCCGAATGCGTCGGGGATGCGACCAAGAAGCGAATGGGACTCGGAAGGCCGCGGCGGGTCTTCGAGGTCTTCATCCGCACTTGTGGGAAGGCGTCCGTGATTAATGAACTGTCGGGAAACAAATAGGAAGCGGGTCAGAGAGGGAAAATCCCAGCATTATTATTCGCAAGAGAGACGACAAACCCAAAGCTGGATTCTGGAATTCGATTTTATCTTATCTCCCCCTTACCCACTCATTGGAAGTATCATAAGTCTCAAGCATTATACAAATCATATCTTATCGTGCATCATTGGTAAAGAAAGCGTGGAAGCTACTCCGGATAACACACAAACATTCTCTATGAATGAGGAGCAGACGGAAACGATAAAATATCAATAGGGGACAGACGCTGCGAAAGTCCCAAGTCACACGCATCGAAGAAGAGCTGAAGGTGAATATGGATGTGAAAGCGTTAGCGAAAACTCCAGCCTTCATCAAATATGGAGAAATCGTGAGTCTTTCACTCTGTCTTCTCCGTTCCGAACGGCCACAGTGAAGGATGCAGGATGTCGCCTGTCTCCAGATATTCGGGTTGCTGGCGCTTTCACTCTACCGGGCCGCGGTTGAGCCAACGGAGTTTTCTCTCGAGCCCTGGGAACCACTTCCCCCTAAAGCCCAGGCGTTGAACATTAACGAGGAATTTGTGGTCACCGGGACCCTGTTGGGGCTGTTCCTCTCCACCCTCGTCTTCCCCTTCGCCCTCCTCTTCGGCCACAAGACCGGGTCCATGGTGAGTCTCGGGCGACGCCCCGGAGAGGCCTTCGTCACTCGTCACGTAAAGGAGACTTTAGGACTATTTTCATCATTTACAACCGTGGATCATAATTCAATCGATTCAATAATCCAGAATCTGTCGTATGAGTTATGTCTCAGCACTCCTCGGGGTACTTCATTGAAACGAAACCTTTCTATTTTTCATCTCTGTACATTTCTATCGTTCTTTCCTGATCCCGTCCTCTCAAGATATTCACTCCGAGCAGGTACACCATGTTCTAACACAGTTCTATCTGCTTCTGGTAGACATAACTGCGTCATTGTTAAGTTATATAACTACCTATTGGGTCAGCTAAAAATTTTTCGGAAATTTCCGACGAAGGACCTGTAAACCTGGATTTTGCGTCATGCTCGGAAAATATTTCCTGCATTTCTTCATTTCCTCTTCTCTACGGAATTTTCCCCCTTCGCAAAGTATTAAGTTGAAGGGACACGAATCCGAATTCCGACGTTCAAACGAACGACCCTTTTCCTCGTTCGAGTCAGAAAAGCAAGTATGGAATATTCGCCGAAATCGTGATCGGACCTTTCAGTCTTGGCACCTTGAGGAGGCCATCCGATGCCTTCAGTTTCCGAACCGAATGAAAGATGAATAGCCTTTTAAACGTGACACCGTGATTGCTTCGGTAAACGAATAGTTTTCGTTCTCCAGAAGAAATGTACTTTTATGTGCATTTCGTTTCCCTGCTTCACAGACATGGAGATTTCCTGGCTGCCGGCGGCCCGCACTTCTTGGACCGATCGGAGTATAAAAGATTCAGGACTCGGTCCTTCTTCTCTGACTATCTCTCTCTTTGAGAAAAGAAAGAGGCGAGAATGGGTCGCGATATTTTCCGAAAGTGATTAAAAGGGGAGGTTCTGAATAATCGCGTTAATGAATCAGACTTACAAATTCTCCATGAAAGGGACACAGCAGAGTAGAAATGTACAAGGAGAGGTACACATCGTGTCCCTCGGTTCTGCATGTGTGATCCAGACGTTCACATGTGAACGTTGCTGACGCAAATGTCCGGGTTCTCAGTGCGATACTCAAAGTGGGCATAAGATGGCGGTTATGTTCCAGCAATCGTTCGAACTCGATTAGGGACTCACCAGACCCTAGGAGAAGTGTTTTCTTCCTTTCCCTGTATTTATCTTATCGTAATACTCGTAAAGTAGTATTTAATATAAGTATAAATATCATGTTTAAATGGCAATCAATGATCCTGGAAAATTTTAAATGCTGGGGTTTTCTACGGGAACAGAGAAGTGTGAACCAACAGGTTATGGCCCTTTTTCTCCCTGAGAAATGGGCGGCCAACTTTCAACAAACTTGAAAGATTGTCCTAAAACAGGGTGGTCTAGTTACCTACTGTCCCCATCATAACAGGAGAAGACTCCGTTCATGAGACAGCCGGCACGCCCTCTGCGAAATGGAAACGATGTCAGCTTGTTATCAGTGACAGGGCGCTGCCTGCCGTGGAGGTGGTGCCGGGTGAAGGGGCCTTTAAAGCCCCCTTCGAAGCTGACAATTGAGCTTCATCAGCCGGTTTTTCAACCCCCTTAAGCGCGATGTGAATAGAGATGAGAAAGGTACGCATGTGTACCTTCTGCACCTTTTCAACGAACGTATTTTACGACATACGTTTGTACCTCAACGTTCAAAATGTGTACCTGACTGTACGTTTCTGCTTTGCTGTGGATGCAACAAATACTCACGGATTAATTAAGGGAAGGTCGTGTAATGATAAAATTCCATTTATTATGCAGTAATCCAAATGGAATGGAACTGGTTTTTAACAATGAAGGAAATTCAAGAAAATCCGAATGGGACGGAAATCTACTTCCGTGAACGGAAACCCGATTCCGATTATGGATTGAAATTTTCCGGAAAAAAGAGTAGAAAGCTCTATTACTCGCTTTAGTCGGAGGGATGGATTCCAAGGTTTTTTCGGAACAGCATGTTTACGTTAAAAAAAAGGAGACATGGCTTCCGCTATGAATCGGAATCCCCTTCTCAACACATTAGACAGAAACCCTGTTTCTGATGCCTTAGTCGGAAATATTTTATACAGTGTGACCAGAATCCCCCTTTCAAATGTCAAAATTTTTTTCATATAATCGTTGAAAGCCTGCTTTGTCGGAACTAACGTGTAAGACATTTCAAGAACTAAATCGCATCTTGATGCCGCAATCAGCCGCGAGAACGGATCATCCGGCACCTCCCTACTTTCAGGAGATGATCCACGCAGCAGTCAGCGCCTTCTTCTACCTCGTCTCGGGGAGCCTGCTCCTCAAGGAATACACGGAAGGCGACAGGACCAAGGAGGCGAGGATGGCCATCGCCTCGGGCGCCTTCTGCATCCTCGTCACTGTCGTCTTCATCGCGGACGCCGTCTTCGCCGCCTTCAAGTGGCGCAGGGACGACGATTGAGGATTCCTCTCGGGACACTCGAGTCAAAATGCTCAGCAATTCGTTCCTTCTGCATCTTTCTGCTTTCATGCAAAGCTACATCCATTCGACGCTATCATATTAATAAAAAGATTCGGTGGCACGAATCAGTAGATGTGACGAATACGCTTCATTTTTCACCGACCGACGGCAATCGTCTGAGGAGAGGAACGAGCGCGACGTCTGACGAATTGGAAGCCACGTTGGAGGGGGATCATCAGCGCTCCCGCCCCGCCTCCTTCCCTCTCTCAGTGATAGCCTTCTCGCTCAGATAAGTGAACATAATTTTTTTCCTAAGTACGTAATTTATATGACTAATTTTGGAATATGAGTCCAATAGTTTATTTTTTACTGCAATAAGGACGCCATTCGACGAGAAGCGCAGTCCCTTCCCCACGACATCGTGAGAGCCGCTGCAAATGTCGCACACCGATCGGAGGCGATCGCGAAGCTCCATGGGACCCATGATTGCAAAAAGAATGAAATAAATTTGTTTAATTTCGGGATTTTCCAGAGTCCACGTCGTGAAATTTTCCGAGTAAGAGCACGTAAACGAAGATTTCATCCAATAGTTTCCACAGTTTCATGAAAAATACCCAATTGATCCGAAAAATACAGTACAACAGGAGGAGTGATCACACTGAGAAGTTCCCACTTGGACCTCAAGGATAAGTTGAGATGGAATTACATGCAGGAAGGGAAATTCTCAGCAGGACTTGAAACATGTTTTCTCGCAATGGACAGATCCAACTTATACCCCTTTTCTCCCTTCTTCCCCTCCTTTGTGCGCATCGGTTCCCCCGAATAGAATGAGAACTTGGTATGGCAGAGTAGGAATTATATGGGAATAAATACATAGTAGAGGTATGAAAGCGCTAGCGAAACCTCCAGCCTTCAAATCTAAAGAAATCGTGAGTCTCACTATCTCTCTCTCCCCCTCTCCCCCCCCCCCTCTCTCTCCCCTTTCCATTCCGAACGGGTCTGTTCATCGTGTCGAGCGTGACTTCAGGAGAAATATGTTTGATATACATATGTCTATGGGAGGAGCTAGAATAGGGAGTTTGTGCTATTTTCGATCTGGTCACAGGAGGCTTGCTAATCGGGGATATGTCTGGTGCGAAAATGAAGGAAACGTATAGGATTCTCACCTCGGGAACCTCTTGCATCTTCCTCGCCATCGTCTTCATCGCGGATGCGACATGTCGAGTGTCCCAGTCCGAAATATCGTACCCCAATTGGAAGCAGTTGTGAAGCTTTGTGGGAGCCATTTTCAGTTTTTTTTTACCCTTAATGCATGACGTCAGGGATGCCTCCAATGAGGTATGTATTTTCCTATTTGCTTATCGTTCTTGCTGTGATGTGCAGATCTTTTTTCCGGAAGTTTCAGAGCGAATACTCAGGGAGATGTACACCCCCCAAACGACTTCATAATCTCATAGTACTTTTAAGTACAGGGCGTTTCAAATGTCACTTCCGCTATTCAGACGACTGCTCCCAGGAAACCGAAAGCAACGTGGTAAAACTTGGTGTGTTGACAAATTCGAAAATACAGAAGAAAATGTGAGACGTTCATATTTGCGCCCTTCGGGTCCGCACGCGTACCTCTGTACGTACCTTTGTGCGGATGTTGTCCTGACGTATACATGCCCAGTCAGCAGTGTATGTGTGGCCATAGATCGGCGTATATGAGGAAGCTGTGGCGTTTCTGTGGCTCTTCGGTGGTTAGACTATCTGTGGCTCGGGAAGGTCTTGCACGCTTTGCCCGCGCTTGGCGGACATGGATGTTTACGCGCCAGTGCAATCCGACTGAACATCGATGAAAACTCCTGCAAATGCTTTGAGGCTTGGATGAGAACCGTCAGTATCATTTTGCTCATGAGATGCACAACTCAAAAACGACCGCGAAGATCCAATGTGGCAAAGTCTGATAGTTTTTGGGAAATGTCGAAGTTCTCCTCGATGCCATTAGATGGAGGTGTGGGTCTTGTTTTCACACAGTACACAAAAGTGCCTTCCCTCTTTCCGTCCCTCGCAGGAGTGTTTAGTACCTCGCTATATGTCTCGCATAATCTCATAATGTAAATGAATAAACGCGGGCAATTCATCATTTGTTGTCCTCATAATCGAGACAGATTCATGGTGCCCAGGCTATAAGCAAACTCATATTCCATATAAGAATCCTCTATTAAATGGGATAATCTCATCTAAAAGAGGTTGTAGAACGGCAATGATGTTCGCGGATTCAATTTTCCACTTCTTCGTCCTGAAGTCGGAATGAGGAAACTAGGAATTGAATTCGTGTCTACTCCAAGGAACATAATGGGATGGACCTTTCCCAGAAACGTTTTATAATTAGTAATATAATTAAGTTGACAAAGTTAAAAGCTGACATATATGGAGTGGCACATGCATACACTTCGTTCGTACCATATTTGCACATATAGATATGCTATCATGGCTCTGCTCGTCTGCTTTTCCCCGTGAGGCCTATTTATGAGATTCTAACGAGTTCCCCGAGGAACGGGTGACCATCACGATAGTGAGCGTTACGAGATGTTTCTCTGTGAGCAGGAAGATGTCCTTGTTTAACGAGATTGGTGTTTACATGGTTGGGGCATGTTACATGGTACCTATGGTCCGCAAATGGTGCACTTTTTTCCTGATAGCTGCTCGATGTGCTTTCTTCTTGTGATAGTCGTAATCTCCAATTGTGACAACATACTCCAAACTGCTGCTCGAAGCATATCAGGGGTTATGGAGTGGACTTCCTGTCGTATGGTTCCCTTCAACTCGTGGCATGTGGTGAGGCCATTCCGGCAAACACGGCTCTTGAGGTATACCCCAAAACCAGAGGTCTGATGGTATAAAGTCCGTTCGACACCCCCTCATATGCTTCGAGCAGCAGTTTGGAATGTATTGTCCCAATAAGAGATTACAATTATCACAAAAGGGAAGCGCATCGAGCAGTTATTATAAAAACGTATGGCATTTGTGGACCATAGGTATCATCTAGTGTGACCATAATGCCATTATAAACCACGACATGGCTGTATGTTTTCTTCCGCATGGTGAAATAGGTCTACACACCAAGTTTCACAACGCTGTGTCCATCGGTTTCCCCGGGAGCAGTCGGCTGAACAGCGGAAGTCACTTTAGAAATGTCCTGTACATTCACAACTCTCACATCCCAACCGTGTAAACGCCCACCTCGGTAAACAAGGATATCTTCCTGCTCACAGACAAAAATCTCGGAATGCTCACTATCGTGGGCGTCACCCGTCTTCAGCGAACTCGACAGGATCTCATTGATAGGCCTCACGGGGAAAAGCAGACAAGCAGAGTCATGATAGCGTAACTATATGTGCAAACATAGTATGAACGAGGTGTATGCATGTGCCACACCGTTTATGTCAGCTTTTGCTGCGGCGACTTAATTATAGTGGGTGATTCCATGTCAATCAGCACACTTTTTTCCCCGACCCCCTCCAAATTCTATGAAATTCAGCTTACTGATAATACCTATTGAGAAAATAAACTACAGCAAATTTCAGCTTCATGCATTATGTATTCTGAAAGTGACAATTCGACTGTTTCGGAGCACTTCGGGCCCAGGGATACGTGTCATAACTCTATTAAGCACGAATATAAATATGTGTATATGGTATCGTTAAATAGGAAATTTCCTATCATATGATATGTAACACACGGTGATAAAAGCTATGACAGGCCTATATGCTTTGTAATGATAATTAAATTTGACTTGTCCCGGGCCTAAGTTCCCAAATTCGATTTCGCTAAAACTCTAGGACATCATCCGTCATGATCTCCTTCATGTACACAGCAAATTTCGTTTTAGGTTTTTGACTATCTACAGAGATATGAGCATTCTAGTGCATTTCCTTCATAACATGCACCGGTATTACACAACATCAGAGCTACATCATCAGAGCCACATTAGAGTTGCATCATCAGAGCAGCATGAGAGCTCATCATCAGAGCCCATAGAGTGCATCATCAGAGCACATCAGAGCTGGAGCAGCGACTTTTCCTGCTCCGTTTGCCTAATCGGTTCCAAATTAGGAGAAATTAAATAAATCCACCGCATTGTGAGCAGTGGATGCTTCTCACGGCGAAAACCATTTCTCATCCTGATTTTCAGTGCATCTCCCCTCTCAACGGGAAGAAGATGCTGCGATGCCCTTCATTTTCTTTGTTTCCGATAGAGAAATGCACATAAAAATACCTTTCCTCTTGAGAATGAAAACTATACGGTTTTCGAAACGGTGTCTTATTCAAGAGGATATCCGAGGGTAGTGGGAGTCACCTATCGTTCGGATTGGAAACCAAATGCATCTGGTGGCTTCCTGAAGGAGCCAATACTGAATGGTCCGTATGATAACGAAGGATATTTCCGCACATTTTCGAAACTGGCTTTTCTGATGCGAACGATGCTACGACGTACGTGGGACTGCCAGATATGGCATTATAAGTGTTTTTAGCAACTTCGTCTCCTCGGCCTTGTTCGACCTATCCGCTAGGCAACTATCGATCGTCTGCTTCGAAGGCTGGAAGGAAACTGATAACTCGGTTTGGAGACATGACACCCCTCTCTTGGCATACCAATGAGTATGCGTCTTGGGGTGGAATTCCAGGAAGTGGAGACCCGCAGGGAAAGAGGGTAATAGAGCAAGTAGAAGATCGTTGAATGGAGTCTTACGAAAATAGCCTCATTCGGGTAGGAAGCCAATGAAAGGATATGGAGTGGGAAAGTTGAAAGTAGGGGAGAACGAAAAAAAGAATATTCCCAGATGGAACCTATAACGATTAAATTCCAGTGATATTTCACAAAAGTGTCTAAGTTGTCATTGATATAACTTCAGTTCTTACACCACTATGGATTTAAAAAATATCAAATAATTCAAGATAATATGGTCCAGGAATAAGTTCGATAAGAATTTCCATCTTCTCTGCAGATCATCGCA